GCTGTGTTTCATAATAAAAAAAATCTGCTTGCTCTTTATTCAAATACGTACAAATGTGAAACCGAATCTGTATATTCGTTATTGTTTACTCACTGGCTTCTTACTGTCTCAATCAATTATATATTACAAGAAATAATATGACATAAAGAGGATAAATCTACGTGTATGTCTACTATGTATTTCATTATTTATCACACTTCTCTCTGTGTGATATTAACCGCTTTCAAAATAGAACGAGTTTCTTGATTCGGTTAAGTTTTTTATGTTTGTTACTTCGTTACTTCGTTAGTTATAAACCGATTTGTAAAATTATTTTTTATCTACAAGGATATACAGCTTTGTTCTGAATTGGAGTTTTTATTGTTTTTTATGTAACTTAGAATGGCAAACAAGCTGACGGTCTACCTGTTGGAAATTGATAATTGTCGCTATGAATAGAATTAGTATGATTTTTAAGTTTTTTAGGAATATATTTTCTTAAGTCGATCTTTTTTTATGCAACTTAGCTTATTTTTATGACAAACAAGCTGACGGCCCTCCTGATAGAAAGTGGTAACCGTCGCCTATGGACATGAACAGTACCATGGACATAACAGAGTACACTGTTTCGCCCATGATACGCCTCATGCGTTGCCATTCCTGAAGACTAAGGTGTTATGTTTCTGTACCTTGTACATTTACTGCCTTATCCCACCCTTCAAACTGAAACACAACCATACATACACACAGTACATACATACATACAAACAGAGATACATACATACTATTTCACAAAAGACTATACAAAGTCTCCCTCTGGTATGAATGGGCTGAATCGATTTTGATAAAAAAATTCTATGGGATTTACACTAAACTACTGAGTTTAGTTTTTAAATTATAATATAATAACTGATTTTTCCATAATTGACTGAGTTTTTTTTTGTGTACTATTATTATTATTATTAATGAAAAACGGGCTTTTTCAGTCAGAAAACCCTGTGACACTGCGACCTTAACATGATCTTTTATGCTTGCCCTTTTTTAAACTTCGCTGCTAATTCCTATCTGTGATAGGAATTTTAAGATGTTTTTTGTAGCGACATTTTTTATCTCCTCAGGATATAGAGTGTGGTTTCCAAAGGAGATACATTATTTATATATGAGTGGGCTACAGCCACACATTCAGTGCTGCGAAGTTTTTTTTTGTTTAACATAATCTTTATTTTAAACAAGTAAATTTTTTTCTCGAGCGATCTGAAGTATCGATCAAGAGAACAAAGTTTAGGTCATAGCTGGTAATTTAATAGTTCCACTTAGTTTTCTATTATGACAAACAAAGTTAGGAGACCTAATTAATCATACTGCTGTAGGCTGGCACCATGCCATATCGTATTACAATATCAGTATCATTATTATAGGCATACTGTTCTTTACCGGCGACTTCACTCGCGTAACCAAGATATGTTAATTGGAATAAAAAAACCCATGCTATTCTTCTTCATATATGTGCATAAATTTTTTAGTCACCATCATCATTTCAGCCATTATTCGTCCACTGCTGGACATAGCCCCTCCTCTCTCTTCATAGCCATATTCTTCTTGATTATATTTGAAAACTATTTTCTTTTAACTTGGTATTTTTTTGATAATTTCAACTTCTAATCACCACATCTGCTACCATAACTGGTTTTTATATCAATTGATTTTGCTCGTCATTTTAATGTCGTATAGAATGAAGGCGCCCTTATGCTCCGTTATCTTGTACGCAGCCCTCACTCCAAGACCTTCCATCTTCATCAACTATCGTTGATTCGACAAATATGTTCAGTCCACTATCACTTTAGCTACCAGACTTTGAAAACTAGTTAATTTCTTTAGTTCTCTGTTAAATTTTCACGTTTCACATTATTTTAACACATTTTTTTATACAACATAGAATGGCAAACAAGCTGACGGTCCACCTGATGGAAAGTGGTGACCGTCACCTATAGACATGAGCAGTACCATGGACATAACAGAGTATACTGTTTCGCCCATGATACCCCCCCATGCGTTGCCATTCCTGAGGACTCAGGTGTTATTCCTCTGTACCCATTAAATTCACGCCATATCCCACCCTTCAAATCGAAACACAGCCATGCAAACTCAACTGGTTTACGGTTGAAACACGAATGGGACAGAGGTACCCCGTTTTAATTTAAATTCTATCATTATGAAATATAATATTTATTATTCCTTGAATTTCCTGCGAATATTACAAATCGTAATTATGAATAGAAATTGCGTTATTCTCTCATATAAATTGGGGAAACGGAAACAATAAGTATCAAATTATAAAATATTTGCGCCAACAAAGATTGTTCTGTCTCGTATTTTGATTACTTAGTTCCTTTTCAGACAAATTAAAACCTTTGTCTATCATATTACAGATCAGAAATTATGGTTAGGAACATTTTAGCTGAATGGAGTTTCACATTTAGTACCTATATTAGAATTGAGATTTGAAATTTTGAGATCCTTAAGAGACTGGCTGTTTCCGTGGCTTCACTTATACCCGGTCCTTGCTGTATAAGATTTTGTATGATACTACCGCCCTAGATTACCGCCGAGAGAGATTTTCCTTTAGACTCCCCAATCCCTGTGTGCGTTGTCTAAAACATTATACATTGGAATTATCTATCCACGACTACCGCTTCTACACCAAATCCTTTGCAGTGCTAGCTGCCAGACTTTGGAATTGCCTCCCAAATAATACCAGAATGACGTTTCATGTCTTTCATACATTCAAAGCTCAAACAAAAAGATTTTACAATACACTTGACAGTTGAGTTACATATATGTATAATTATCCTATGTTTATATATATGTATTTATTTATGTTTATAATTTTACATATTTATACTCTGTTACTAACTATATAGCTACTAATAATATAATTTGTTATTTGTCGTAATATTTTTGCACCATATATGTTTTTTTTATACAACTTAGAATGGCAAACAAGCTGATGGCCCACCTGATGGAAAGTGGTAACCGTCGCCTATAACAAGACCAGTACCATGGACTTAACAGAGTATACTGTTTCGCTCATGATACCCCCCATGCGTTGCCATTCCTGAGGACTCAGATGTTATTCCTCTATACCCAGTAAATTCACGTCATATCCCATCCTTCAAACCGAAACACAGCCATGCAAACACAACTGCTTCACGGTTGAAACACGAATGAGTTATATGTTATGTTATGCTTTATATACAATCTCTATAGATTATTTCTCATTTTGGGTTCTCAAGGTTGACTGAAAGAAATCCCTTTAAGGGATAAGTCCGTCTATGTATATTTTTGTTACAACCTAACATCTGTATTAAAAATTAATATACAAAAGCATATAAATAATTAAATAAATAAATCCTATCTTTTTAAATATAATATAACATAACCGTATAAATTGTACATCCATACAAGTATCTTCACAAACATTCGTCTTTATAATTTTTTTTCGTATTTTTTATAATAAAATAATCTTATAATTATTAATTTCTTTCTTTAATTACATACGTTGTTAAGTATATAAAAACATTAAACAAATGAACGAAAGAAAGGCTTAATGCTATAATAATTTTCTTCCAACAAACCCAAAGTGAAAAGAAGAATCAATTTATTTATTGCATTATATATTAAAACGATAATATATATATATATATATATATATATATATATATATATATATATTATTTATTTATTCTTTATTGCACAGTAAAATTTTGTACAAATGGCGAGCTTAATGCCATATGGCATTCTCTACCAGCTAACCATTGGGTAAAAACAGAAAGCGTATGAAGGGCAGATGTGGTGAAAAATATGTGACAATTATAGTAACACAATACACAATATAAATATAATATACACATAAGAAATGTACATATAATACATAAACATATATATATAGCTGTTAAATTTATTTTTTTAACCATTTATCCTTTAATTTTGATCATGAATTATACCAACTTGACATCTCTCATATTCAATCTCATAATTAGGATGTATGAAAATTTGATAATACTAAATCAATGAATATTGTAGACATTTTAGCATTGCTTTCACTCTATTGAATTAATAATATTTTATCTAAGCTGTTAGATATTTTTCTATTATTTATTTTGAATTATAAATTTAAATATTTATTTACTTTATTTTAAAACAGTTTCTAAAGATTTTATTTTAATGACGGAGTAAATAGAAATAAATTGGTGTATAAGTAATTTTTGGATAAGCACACTCCATATTAGATCTTATAATCATTTATCATAGAGGGGAAAGGGATTGTTAGTAATGGAGACTGAGAATCCCATTGCTAGCAACATACCCAACCAGGTCGACTTCCTCGCGGTTCTCCCGGGAAACTATCATGGTTAATTCCTGATGAATTCATCATGATGGGCTAATTGACCTGCTTTCATTCTCATCTATCACCTTTCACTGGTACTCCGTCAGCGTATCCCATTAACGCAGGCGGGTTAACAAACCATTTTCACCCATCAAAAAAAAATCACTAATCATAAGTTGAAGCAAAATCAAGAGCAAAATCCGTTGACTAATAAAAAAATCTAAGTCACAAAAAAAGAAAACAAAATACTTGAAAATTGAAAAACACAATTTCATCAAAGCTCCGTATTAAAATTGTGTGTTGTGTGTGTTACGCATTAGCTCATTTTATCCAAATTACCGGCCCATTAAATTTATAATTTCCCTGTGTTGATGTTGTGAATCTATTAATTGCTCGATTAAATACTTATTAACACGGTTGAGTTATCTGAAAACGTTTCTCTTTCAGATTTATGTATCTTTTAATTGCTTCTTCACACAAGATTCTGACGCTCCAGTAGACCACTGTGAAATCTCCGTCCCTCTCGGTTTAGAACCCTCGCAACCTGCAACCCTTACGAAAATTATCTACCATCCTACTCTAGCAGACACCCGGCTGGCACGAGCCAAATCCCTTATGTAAGTCAGTGCTTTCAATTCGCTCGTTGGTGGCGGACGCGTGTGTCGCTAAAGAGAGATTCGTCGACAATGCCGATATCAAATATTCGAATCAAAACTGAACTGTACAGTGACAATTTTTGTGTTAAAAAAAATTATATATGAACACAATTGAAGTGCTTCAGTGATGCTGACGGTGATTGTAAATTAAAAACGGAAATGGGGTGCCAAAGTAAAATTTCTTTTAAACTTACGCGCCGGGATTAGATGAGATTTATCTCGGAAAACAAGGGGGATTAAGGTTTATTTTAAAAGCTCCCTATTCACTATGTTGTACAATGTAATCCACATTATCGTTCGTGCTAAAGTCGCCTCTCGCACGGACTACTTACGCGTAACGATCCCTCGGTTAGTGTAAAATAAAAATAGAACCATCGTTATCTTGTAGTAACTTTTAATATATGACGCGCCATTCATTATATGGCCCGGGAGTGTCATTTAACTATTTGTCAACGAGTTAATTACGAACTAGAATAAATGTTGACAGATTTAGTGGGAACAGGTAGAGTTGTCGCAGCTCGTAAGTTGTGACACGATGTCTCCGAAGTATTCAGTAATTAAGAGATAGAAAAGCGTTTGATTTGGACTAATCGTTAATTGATATTCTGGTGTTAGTTATAATCATGGAAAGGAAATTAGTGTCAAATTAAATATTAATATAATTGTGTAAGATAAATTAGGAAACCAATATAATGGCGGAGAACATGAAGAGCTTAAAGAGGCATTCGTATATATTGAATGCAATTCTACTGTTCATCTCGCTGATTTATGGTAAGTCAATTTTATTTATTTTCGTCTTAGTATTATTTAGTAACGTAAGTCTAGGAGATATGAAAGTAGTTTATAAACTTTTTCTTTTAAATTATGATTTTAGAATAAATCAAGTTTTTTACCATACTATATATTTTCTGAAATTTATAATAATATAATTTTTTTTTTAAATTTACTATCTTGTAAGAAGTTTGAATAAGTTCTTTAAAGTCTTACGAATTTTAATGACAACTAATACATGAATAAATATAAAATGATATATAATTAATTGACCAGTATTTAAATACGTATTAAATCAAATCTAATTATTTTGTATTAATACAGGACGATAAATTACATAAATGTTGACAAATTAAATACGTTTGCATATAGCAACATATTTATATTTTACTTTGTATGGCGTGCAAAATTATTATATTATAATTAACATACATTATTGTCATTATTAGATAAAATGTTAAAGAACGCATTGTGATTATGCTTCACTCATAATTTCTTGAAATACCTATATCCACAGTACTTTTTTTTAATTTGTTCAGGAGGTAGAAACCTTACATTAAATAGATAGAGCATCAAATCAAAACTTTTTGTCAGCTAACTGTCAAATTAGCTGACTGGTATTTTTTATCTGCATTCCATATACTTACGCATAAAATGTGTTTTAACGTATTATTTAATGAATAAATTTAGTGTTTACTCATTAAAAAGATGTAAAAATTATAAGAAAAATAAATATAGGAGTTATAAAGGAATCACTCGTAACTATTTATCACGCAAAATTGTATGAAAAAATTGACCCGCTTTTCTCGAACCGTTTCTATAGAGACATTCTATCTATATAATCTAAGTAGACAATTATTTGACTATTATATTCACCAATTTATTTTTATAAATGTACGCTTCACTACAAAATATTATATTAATAGAGGGAGACTTTGTACAAAAGCTGTGTTTCGGTTTGAAAGGTGGGATATGGCGTGAATTTACTGGGTACGGAGGAATAACACCTGAGTCTTCAGGAATGGCAACGCATGGGGGTATCATAGGCGACAGTATACTCTGTTATGTCCATGGTACTGCTCATGTCTATAGGCGATGGTTACCACTTTCCATCAAGTGGGCCGTCAGCTTGTTTACCATTTTAAGTTGTATAAAAATAAAACAAGATATAGTGCGTCCAGAGTGTAACTTACTGATTAAAAAGTTGAAAAGTCTTCGCAAAAACGTTGAACTAGTTTAGAATATCTAAAATAATTATACGCAATTGCGTAGAATAATACAAGACCCTCCGCGTACATCTCTTTAGAAGATAAGCTTTTAATGTGCCGGTTTATCTTAACGGCTTGCCGTTACGTATTTTAGGATAATTCAAGGCACACTAGCCCTGTAAATGAAAATGGGACTAGTGTACCCTTGAGGAATGTCGGATTCACTTTTACTTTATTCGATTACAGTAATGTTTATGTTCTATTCGTAATTATGAAACCTATTAGTTTAAACGTTTATCTATTTGTTCACGATGTAGTAAAGAGTGTTAATATATCAACAACTATTTGTGTAACATTTATGATATTATGGATTTTAGACAAGCTAAGGATTTTTAATAATTGTGCCAAATTTCGTGTATGTAGGTTAGATAGATTTCGAGTTGTGACGGAATCAAAAGTAGCTTACCAGAGGGAGACTTTGTACAAAAGTCAATTGCTTGGATACCTCTGTCCCATTCGTGTTTCTACCGTGAAGCAGTTGTGTTTGCATGGCTGTTTTTCGGTTTGAAGGGTGGGATATGGCGTGAATTTATAGAGTACAGAGGAATAACATCTGAGTCCTCAGGAATGGCAACGCATGGGGGGCGTCATGGGCGAAACAGTATACACTGTTATGTCCATGGTACTGCTCATGTCTATAGGCGACGGTTACCACTTTCTATCAGGGGGGCCGTCAGCAATGGTTCGCGTAAAATTACACTCAGCTCAGCAGCTGAGTGTAATTTTACGCGTCCAGTCCATTAAAAAAAAAAAAACTGGCGTCTCAGCAGACGCCAGTTTTTTTTTTTTAATTGACTGGACTCGCTGCCGCGTGTCTAAATGTACGTATGAGAGATTAATGGCCAGTATGAAAGGTTGAAGAATTTCTGGTAGTAATAGTGGCAGGCATACTTCGAATGTTGACAGTTACACGCATACTAATGATAGTGGAATTAAACAAAATAATTCTAACCAAATAACCAGTGACATGGATTTTAGCAAGATAACGACTAGTTCAGTATAATTTTTTCTTCTCTCTCTCTCTCATCTGTTTTGGGCAATAAAGATTTCTGTCTCTGTCTCACAAGAATCTGTGAATCAGTCTAAAAATTTTAGGCAAAAAATATAAAATTGTATAAAATAAACTTATTTAAAAAATATTTTATTTCGTATTGTAATATCTTTATTGTACTTACTTTTCATTGGACATATTAAGAAGGTTTAATGTACAATGGCGGACTTATCCCATAAAGGGATCGCTTACAGTCAACCTCTGAGAAACTGAAAGAAATATATTGTTAAATACAGAACTGTGTTACTATGCACCAAAATGGATGAAATATTATGTGACATTTAAAATGCTCGTATAACGTGACATTTAAATCTTCGTTATAATGAGGGGTCGATGAAGTGTAAATTTGCTTTATCTATAAATAATTTATACTAGCTATATATCATGACTTCTCCTGCGTGAATCGGTATACTCGTATAAAGTTAAAAAGAAGCGTATCGGAATTCTATAAAACAAATTCTTAAACTTTTCATGCTGAATTGATTATATGATAGCACAGTGTGTAAAAGATAAAAACTGTAAAATATCGAAAATATTACTTGAGAGAAGTTGTTTTATTGCAACATTTAAAACTTAATTATCGAAATTGTCCCGTATGGTCCGGCATAGAATAGGCCATCCCTTCCTTTCCCGTGGGTGTTGTTAGAGGCGACTACGGAAGGGCGAAGGATGGGCAACAGCATTCCTCTTAAAACGTCTCCAAAGCTTAACTGCGGTTGCCAATCCACCTGCCAAGCATTGTAACTTCTAGTAAACCCCTTTAAGGGGGAGGCTTATGTTCAGCAGAGGGCAGTTAGAGGCTGATATGATGATGATGATACATATATATATATATATATATAGTTGCAAATGTGGCAATAGAACAATTACTACTTCTGAGTATATTCATTATTACATATTCTGTATATGAATTTTGGATAAAGAGTATTTTATTATTATTTATTTATTTTTTATTGACTACATTACAATAAAATGTTTAATGCAAAAGTCGGACTCAATGCTACCTATAATCTATAACATTCCTTCCAGTTAATTTAACCATTGGAAAAAAAAAAACAGAAATGTAATTATGTGCTGAAAATTTTTGAAAACAATTGTAGGTAAATAGTTACAGAAATATTTATATAGACTCGCAAATTATGTACTATATACAATGGAGAACTACAACTATTTATAGTCATATAAATATACTTACATAAATACATTATACAAATATTACTCACCAGAGCAGACCTGATCAGACCTGACCAGAGGAAGACTTTGTACAAAAGTCGATTGCTTGGGTACCTCTGTCCCATTCGTGTTTCAACCGTGAAGCAGTTGTGTTTGCATGGCTGTGTTTCGGTTTGAAGGGTGGGATATGGCGTGAAGTTACTGGGTACAGAGGAATAACACCTGAGTCCTCACGAATGGCAACGCATGGGGGTATCATGGGCGGAACAGTATACTCTGTTATGTCCATACTGCTCATGTCTATAGGCGACGGTTACCACTTTCTATCAGGTGGGCCGTCAGCTTGTTTGCCATTCTAAGTTGTATAAAAAAAAAAACTTACATTTATTTATTTATTGAAATATTATAACATCTTTACAGTAAAAATCGCTGGTCATTTGATTAGGATTATTTAATTCAATTCCTCTACTATTGTATGTGTGTGATTGCCAACACTCGAAGATTGAACACTATCATTATCAGAAGTTCCACGATCCTCCGTATTTTTTTTTTGATGGGTGAAAATGGTATGGTACCGTAGTAGTACCCGCCTGCGCTAACGGGATACGCTGGCGGAGAACCAGTGAAGGGTAATCGATGAGGATGAAAACAGGCCAGTTAGCCCATCATGATGAATTCATCAGGAATTAACCATGATAGTTTCCAATGGGAACCGCGAGGAGGTCGACTTGGTTCGGTATATTGCTAGCAATAGGATTCTCAGTCTCCATTACTAACAATCCCTTTCTCCCCCCTCACCGATCCTCCGTATTAACCAATAATCTCCGCCTACCATTTCGTCCACCTACGTTTTTCTACACATATTTTACCTCTAAACAAGACAACTTCAGGCGCATCACTACTCGAAGCCTACTGTTCGCCACCAAAACTGTAAAGAAAGAAATGTTTGTAAACATTGTAAATATTATGAAATCCAGAATTCGCGATTGTCTCTTTTGCACTTGGCTAGCCTTTTTTTTCGCCGTCTTTTATTCCAACAGTCGGTTTTCCTTCCCCTCTTTGTAGGTTACACGGTTGGCTTGATCCGAGCGCAAATTGCAAACATTTTGGTCCCAAACCGCTGACATATCTTTTGCAATACAAGTAATGTGTATTGTTTCTATTCAATTACATGTTTATACATGTTTTTACCTGACTATATGGAAATGAAGGCATGTAAACAGATCATAAATCAACATCACCATCATATATGAGCCTCCAACTGTTCACTGCCGAACGTAATCCATAAGGGGGTTTTGCCAGTAGTTGACATGCTTGGCATGCGGATTGCCAACCTCAGACTTTGGAGATGTTTTAAGAAGGATGCTGCTGTCCATCCCTCGAACTCTCTTAGCCGCCTCTTACGACATCTACGGGAAAGGAAGGGGTGGCCTATTCTTTGCCGGAATCACGGGATCATCCTCGTCGTCATATCAGCCGATAATTGTCCACTAATGAATATAGGTCTC